ATAGTAGTGTTTATCTAGAGAAAGGGAACAGCCTTTTTATACACTCAGGGAGATGAAATTTGGCTTTGTGGCTTTAAAATCAACGCATTCTATTCTGTAAAATATATGGTAAACTTAGAGAAAAATGGAGCGATTTTCAGGACCAGAGAAATACTTCTCATCACAAAGTCAAGCATTGCTAAGAATAATAATTGGGTTATTTCATCTGAAGCTCTTAAGGGAAAATAGGTACGTTCTGCTAGTTCTTTTTAACCAAAGTATAATTGCATGCCTCATATGTCTTTGAAACAAACCATAAAGTAGAAAGTTTAATGTATCTAAATGCAAGTAATGAGCAAAGCTTTCCACTTGAAATGGTAGTGAATCACTGAATAGCTTGAGTCAGTAACAAACACAGGCTTGCAGAGACAGGGAAGGCATCCCTTGGCTCTTGCTGTCCATGGGGCTCTCACTGATTTAACAATACTACTTCTTGTGTAACACAGTGTGCCTAGTTTACAGCCTTTCGTTTTACAAAACACAGTTTTCTGAGGATGCTAAGGGTGAAGCAAATGTGAGTGAGTGGAACTGTTACTTGCTCACCCGAATAAAAGAAATCTACAATTCTTTCCTTGCAAATTGACATTACATAGTCTAATGTTTTAGCCTTGTCCATGGGCTGTTTTTGTTTAAGGGACTGCACTGTACTTACTGGAACAAAATACATACTTTGCAAAGGTAATTTTAGCAGTAGAGAATTAATTTCTTCCCACATCTTTTAATGTGGCATGGGAGTCTCACTCTGTGATCAAAAAACGTAACTGAAGGTTATGTTTAATTTCTAAATCAAAGTGTTGTGGGATGGCGATTGAAATTTGATGGTGACTCAGATCCAGTTGCTATGTGGTTTTCTTCCTACAGAAACTTTAGGGTAGACTGCCATTTCTATGTTAGAAAGAGCCAAGCAGTGATGAGATTAAAATAGTTTCTCCATAGACTGAAAGTTTACATTAGTCACTGTGATTGCTAATTGAATTTTTTAAGGTACCTTGAAAGTCTCAGTAACAAGAACTATTTTCTTACTACTTAATCTTTCTTTTAGTGTGGAACTAAATAAACAATCAATGCGCATTACCAACAAACATTTGTTTACTGCTATCATGATTCAGTTCTTTCCCTAAACTTGTAACTCGTGTGTTTTCTTTGCTCATATAGAAATCTTCATTGGCTTCAAAGGGTAAATTCAAAGCAGCATTTACTAGATAATGTAATGTGGATAAGGCATGGTGGGTGGTAATGGAGATGTGCCTGCTACTTCACTCATGTCAACTTAGGTCTATTTGGTTTCTCATATTTATTGTTTAAGGGAATCATAACAAAACATCAACCTAGAACGGGAATGGCTTTTTCTCAGTGTTTGAAACACAGAATTGGACACTTTGTGCCTCTGCTCTGCCTTTCCCTTGCTGTCCTTTATCTGAACCACTTCAAGGCCTGCACACCAGCCTGCTCGGCTCAGAGAAGGAAGTGGAGAGTTTTGGTTCCCATTTTACACTTGTGGAGCAGTTTAGGGAAGGAAGCACCTTTACACCTTTTATTGTTCGCGGTTGCTGACATCATATCCTTCCCTGCCCAGTCTGTGCGTGTTTCCTGCCATTCTGTCAAGATTCTTCTCTGTTACTGGGAGGGATTTGCTGAAGGGAAGAAGGGAGGAAGGGAAGAGGGCAAAAAAGAGTGGGAGAAGGAAGGGAGGGGGAGGTGCACGTCAATCAAGCCAGCTTGTTTGGAAATGAGGGAGTCTATGGGAGAGTGATCTTTAGCTGTCCAGAAGAGACTCTGTGAGGCTCTCTAACCACTTTGTCTTCATCTGTCTGCTTACAGCAAACTCCAAGTGAACAGAAGCCTGCCGTACTTAAGTTCCCCTTTTTAGTAAGCGGGCAGATTTTACCTTTTTATTTAACTTGGCAAAGGAAGAAAAAGGGCAGACTGTAACTTCATAGTCCTCTTTTCCTTTCCTTCTTGTTCAAGGTTTTGATTGTTTACATGTAACTGTCATTTTCCAAGGATGGTTTCTTCATGTGATTATATTTAATGAAAGTTCTCACTGTGACTGAAACGCTGCTATCCGTAGTTTATTAATATTCTTTTTTCCACATACCTGTGAGACAGCCAAACAGGTTACTATGGTAATAATAATCTTTTTTTTCTAGCCCCTCCTGGTAATTAATATTTGAAACAACTATACAGCACAGTGTGTGTGTGTGTGTGTGTGTGTGTGTGTGTGTAAAAATCAGGTTAATAAATAGTTACACAAAAAATAAATAAATAAAAATGAAAAATGTTGTGCTCTGGTGCAGGCCTTCCCAGTTCTTTGAATTTTTACTGATAGCCTTGAAATGTGGGGACATCTTCCACAAAATGCCATGTCATTGCTGCTTGTTATTCTGCATGTGAGCTTCATGCAATTGTGTATTTTATGAATGTTTAGAAAGCAACACTTCAGTTACTGAACTGAATATTGGCCTTGTGCAGAAAAACAAAATTAAAGTTGAATTAGGTTTAATTTTCCATCCCTCTCCACTACCTGGCATATTTTAGAATGGAGACTATTTTCAATGGCATTTTCACCAATTGTTTTATGGATGTGTGTATACATGCACATAGAAGCGTGCTAATATGTTTGCATATGTATTTCTAGAAAAAATCCCTGTTGTGTTTTAGGAATAACAATAATTTAAAAAAAATAAACAAAAAACACATCACCAACTCCTTCTAAATATAAATAGTATCCTCCTTCCAAGTTGGAAAACGTGGAGTGGTGATGCAGAAGGCTTTTCTTTTTTTTTTTTTTTTTTTTTTGAGTTTGGTAGTCAGAAGCACACTGGCTCTTTAAGGAAGGTCTTCTTTGCCAGTGTCTCCCCAATTGCTTGGGTACGTGTATTTTGAATCAAGGTCTGTAACCCGTGACCTCCTCTCTGCCTTGCCTCTGCACTCTAATCTGTTTGCCCTGACCTTCCACCTAAAGTGAGTAAGCGCTTAGGCAGGCATAGTCCTGTAAGCCGATAGCTAGCAACTCTGGCCTCTGCTAAGACAAGGGAAGCGGGATGCGCCCAAAGGCTTTTCCTGGGGTTCACGGATTGTTTTTTCTTTGTTGGAGAAAGCCTGCTTGTCCCTTTGGGGTCTTGCACATGCATGGGAAATACCATTCTGGATTGCTGCTTGCTTCTTCGGTAAGACTACAGGAAATACAGAAAAGGTTCCCAGCTGTGTGAACTTTAAGATCATTTGTAAGGCTAAATGGGTGGATTATTTAGCAGTGTTGAATGCTTGATGTATTGTGCTTTTAATTCTTCGTGTACGTGATCTTGGCATCTTGTAGCAGTGTCTTAAGGTTGTGAGTGTTTCACTCAGTCAGTGGGTGTTGTGTATATAACTTTTCAAAACTTTAGAACTGTTACTAACATTGAAAACTGACTGAAGTCATCATTTTTGATAAGCACACCGTAATCATGATGTAACTCACGTATGTACGCCAAGAGGCTGAACTGGGCTGCAGTTTAGTAGAAAGACACTGGGTAAAGGAGAGTGGATAGTCTTAGTGATTAAGCAGTGCTTAATCCACCAGAACTAATTATATCATAATAGTGTCTGCAATTAGATAATTACCTAAACTTATATTTTAAAAATATTCTCAAGGTGATGAAGAATAAAGAAATTTAAAGGCAGCTGAGGAACACACCAAGTATCTAACAGCCTTTTCTGTCCCAAGAACCTTGAACTAGAGCCAAATAATCTATTAAGTAGCCAGGACAGTGGCTTAATGTTACATAATACATGTGGGAATTTTTCAGGTCTACTGTCACAGACTAAGTAGAATCAACAGAGAAATACTGAGCAGTGTGTAAAGTAGTTGTATCCATTGACATATGAGGAGACAAAATAATTGAAGTCACTGCTTGCAAATGAAGCAAGTATTGTAGGGTGCTTCCTAGTTAACTTCCATTTCATAGAGATTCACTTTCATTATGTGCAAATATTTTTAGACATAATTTTAAACAGAGTAAAATATAGACTTTTAATATTCTGTACTCTTTGGGTTTGCCATGTAATTGATAATCATTATTTTAATTTTAATTCATGACCTAGAGCTCTCTGGTATATAATATCAAGCTTCTGTAATTGTGTGTCTGGCTCCCTAAGGAGATATGATATGTCTCTTTTAAACATTTAAATTTAGAGGGCTGGTGGTCTATTATTAAAAAGTGTATAGTTACAAATGAGATAATAACCTTAATTTTTTGCGCCACTTACTTCTTATCAGTAATGACCATCATTTTTGAGTACTGTTTTAATGGGCAGTTTAAAGGCTTCCAAGAGGAAATGCTCTCACTGCTAACCGATGCTTGAACACCAGGTGAAACATACCGTATTACTTTTCCTGTGTTCTCTGTAGTGATCTTCTTTAAAAAGATTAAAGGATTTAGTTTTAAATTAGTTGACATTTACATATATCAAAGAGCACTTTCATAATTGTCCATCCTATTTGCATAACTAGGGACGTTATCACCTCTGCTGTCAAAACACGAGATTGTTTTCCCTTCAGAAATGAATTAGATGCCCTACTTAGCATACACAGGTATATAAAGGTTCATTAACTCTCTGATTTAGGTAATTTTTCATAACAGAAGGGTGAAAATTGTCACCTAATTTCATTAAAAATATTAAGAAGATCTTTACAAAAAATACAGTTCATTTCAAGTGTTGGGTTTCAAAACACAGTTTTCATCACTTAAATGACTTCTTAAATTACTTATGAGCTTATTTTAATTATAAAAGCATCAACCCTGTGTATATGCTCCTGTGTGTGCTGTGCCATGAGCTTTAAACAAATAGCTATTTTCATTTGTTTTCTTGTTTTGCTTCCATGCAGCTTATTTCCTTGATGGAGTTGGAAGACCACACTAGTTCTTAGGAAGCTGGCTTGCTGTGAAACTATTATTTAAGTTGTCATTTCTCTTCAGCAGGAACGAATGCGAGGATTTGGGAACTGAGCTGTGCACGTGCTGAAGAAGGAGACTTGTTTGAAGGAAACAGGAAAGAGGAAGAAAAGGAAGGAAAAAATACATAATTTCAGGGACGAGAGAGAGAAGAAACACGGGGACTATGGGGAGAAAAAAGATTCAGATCACAAGGATCATGGATGAGCGGAACAGGCAGGTGAGTGGGCAACCCTTTGCGTTGTTGGTACTAAGACAACGTGTCCACCTCCATCAACAGAAGCTTTGAGAGCTTAGTGCATCCAGTTTAAGTGTTGAGATTTTCATCTCTTGCAAACAAAGCAGGGAAGAGAAAAATCACCTTAATTGTTATACGTACGTTTTAGAGATTCATGATTGTTCACTTCTCACTGCCTCGAGACTTACATGGAACTTATATTTGTGTGACAAGAATAGCTTCATAATTAAGAATTAACAAGCATAGTATTGCTACACTTCACGCATCATCAAACAAAGATTTTCTTACATTCATGAGAATGAGGCCCTCTGTGGTCATCCATTTTAAAGTTTGTAGCATTGCCTAAATATTCTCTCTGCAAAATGGCTTGCTTTCTTTTTCATCACAAAGAAGAGCCTGAAGTAAATCCAAACATGTCCAGATGCTACTGACAACAAAAACACCCACAGGGCACATAGGCAGGAACATCTCGATAATTCACTTTTTCTCTAAATTCTGAATTTTATAAACATGGTACTATCATTTTTTTCTGCAACTCCAGTGATGACATCTATAAGACACAGTCAGTTTTGAAGATTTCATATGTCAAATGTTCAGCACTGCATTAAGGACTGTGCACCATGAATGCCTGCCTGCAATCTGATTTTCCCTTATACTAGAAAGAGGAGCTGGGTTTCTTCAGGGTAGCTAGGTGGTTTGTACACATGCTACTGTTGACTATCAGGTGACAGTCCTCTAGAAGAATCATAGTCCACCTGTATACCCACAGTGACCTTCACACAGTCCTTCCACCCCACCCCGCCCCACTCACACCACCATTTATGGTCCAGAATAGGCTCAACACACTCCCAAATAATGACACTCATCTTCCATTAGGTCCCTGTTTACCCTCCTGTAACATAAGAGTATATTCAAGTTTAAAATACAATGTTACTTACACTTATAAATTATAATGAATAGGAATCATTATTTGTTACATTGTCTCTACAGATGGCTCTTTATAAAAAGCCAGTGAGTTTCCAAGAATTAGGAAGATTTTTCTAGGTTTTTTGTTTGTTTGTTTGTTTGTTTGTTTGTTTAAATTATACTTTTTCCTAAGCTAGAACATCTTCTAAGGTTCCCGGGATTTGAATAGCTTTGAGCTTAATATTGAATTAAATGACAAAAAAATACAAAATTCATGAGGGATCTATCAGTGTTTTCATACAGATTGTCTATTGCTGTAGGCCAAGACAAAAAAAGCAATATCCTTGTTAGAATTAAACCCCAATTTTGTGTTCATTTATAGCTTGAAACAGAAATAAAGGCTATAGTATGGAACATCACATATCATTGACTGTGGGGGCCTTGTTATTTGGAACACAATCTGTTTAGTTAGAGTTTTAAAAAAATACATATGAATTAACATTTGTAGTTTATTAGTAATATGACCTAATTTTTGGCTCCCTGAGATTCATTATATCTTCTTATTACTTATAAAAGATAGAAGAAACATGGTGGGGTTGAATTGTGCAGGCTTTTACCATGCTTTCTAAAGGCTGAAAACATTCCCATAGTGATACAAGAATTGTCACATTATACTCTTTAGAGAGCAAGTTTACATACAGTTATATCGATTTATGCTTGCAGATGCTCCTACCTATATGAGAAGTCATAATAACTTTAGGAAGAGGGAAAGTATTTAAATTCAGATTAGTTTGATTTTGTTTAGAAAGTGTAGATGATTGATTCCTTTGTTCTATAGGATTTAGAGCAGTGCATTATTTTCCTCAATCTATGGGTACAATGGGCCTTTTAATTCACCGCTTTTAAAGTAAATGAATAAAAATGACATTGCTTTGTTTTAAGCTGTGTTTCAGTGGTTGTATAAGGTGACTATTGACAGCTTTAAAGAGCTATCATTCATGGTAATGTTGGTCTTGATCACCTCTCCTTTTCTGTGAGAGTGGTCCAAAGAGCCACTTGGCATAAATATGTAGGTAACTCCTGATAATGAAAGGCAACAAATGTTCAGAGGAACCCCTAACCTATGGTCTCTTTAAACCATGTGTTCACATGCTGGAAAGGAAAATGTCAGTAGCTTGGCTCTTCCTGAAGTTCTCTACTAGGATGGCCTAGTAGGACCTCACACAGTGGCACACTGCGTCTCCTCTTGACAGCAGTGAGTGCTCATCTTTCTGCCTTGCATTTGTGTATTTGAGCACATACAGAATAGTGTGGGCTCTTTTGCAGGAAAAGAAATGATAACCCAAAGTGGGCCCTGAAATACCACAGCACTTATTAGTACATCGTGCTTCAGAAAGATAAAACTGGCTTAGATAGAAACCAGTTTACACTGAGTTCTGCCTTTATTGTCTATTTTACAACATGAAGACAACAGCTAAAGCTCCAAATCCAACTTAGAAATACACAATTGTATAATGACAAAAGTTCAAAATCTTTTTGTACTTTACATTTTTTTCAGTTTATTCTTAACCTTCACTAAGTTTCTCAAGTTAATATGTACAACAAACACATGAATTGTCAATTTATCTTACAGATACATTAAGACAGCTCAGTGAAAGTCATTACCAATTAGTTTCCAAGGATGATAATGTAAATTATTCCATTTAATCCTTAGTAATCCTATTTTATAGCCGGATGTTATTTATTTATTAAGTCAACAGTTTTATTTAACTGCATCATTTCCAAAAGAAATTATTCACTGGGGAATAACGGTCTCATCCAAGGATGAGCAAAATATTCTGTAAACAGTAGCAAATACTGTTTGTGTTATGAACTATGCCATCTCTTACTGAGCCATGGAGCTCAATAGCAGCCACAGACGATATCTAAATGGATATGTGTCTGCATTCAATAAGAAAACTTTACTGACAAAGTAAAGGTGGGCTAGATCAGTCTAGTGGGCCATCATTTTTATACCTCTGGTAGACTGAAATAGATATGGAAATATGAACATGAACAATGAAAATATAGAACAAAAGTGGGCTGTGAATGAAAATATCAAAGTACGAGGAAAGAACAGCAAGGGGTGCTTTATTTACCCCTCAAGATTGAAGAATGACCTTTCTGAGAAGGTGCACAATACAGGAACTACAGCATTCTAGAGAAACCAAAATGTCTAAGGCTTGAGATAGGAAAAGCTTTGACTGAGGATTCAGAACTGGGTTAATAAGACTTGAGCCTGCTGTGTGATGGTAGAGTAATGAAGGACTACACACACAACATGCAAAGCAACAACCTGCACAGCTTACAGGATGTTCTTTAGTTCAGAACTGGCCAAGATTTCATGGGGACGATCAGAAGATGCCCAAGAACCAGTGTCAAATTCCTCATATTCAAAACAAAATATACTTCCTTCAGTGACATCATGGTGCATCTACCATAGCTTAATGGCTAAAAGAGCAAGCCTTTACTTCATGTCTATTTTCAGTCATATCATATTGTATCCTATATAATATAATAGAAAAGAGTTCAACTTCTAGTGATATATAAACATTTTTCTAGTCCCAGCCCTACACTTAGTAATATTACTCTAAGTTAAAGTAGATTAATAGGTTTTATAGTATATTACACTACACTAAAATAACTCTGCAGCAAATTATTTAGCCTCTCTCAACTTAGTAAAGCAATGATTAAACAATGGTAGGTAGCTATCACGTTCCAGTGCTAAGATATGAAGTGATGCATTTGAAGTTCTCAATACTCGCACAGATTTGCTCCTCCTGTTATGAGTCATGCTCTTTGAGCCATTGTTTCTTATAGTCATTGTGATTCCCATCAAAACAGCTCTTGTGCTGGGTAGCATATGAAAGAAAAGTTGCGGGGTCTTCACTCCAAGGGAGCTCTATCATAAGAGAATGTGTGTGTGGGGGGGGGGGGTGGAACAGAGTAAAGCAAGAACACAAACAAACTCCCTTGCATACAGGCTGCTAGGGAACCATATAGAGCAGTATTTCTACAGAGAGTGTGGTCTGCCGACACCAAAGGAAGAGCACACAAGACACGTACAATGCAGGTCTTATGACTGTGGTGTGTGGAAGTCGTTTCCGAAATTCTGTGTATGTGGTAACACAATTTTCAAATGTGTGTTACTAACCAAATGCTTTTACAATACTTTTCACCATTTTTATCACTTCTGCCTTCAAGCATATGGTAACGATGATTTTAGTCTCTCCATCTTCACTTATACTGTCTTTCTCACATTTGGTCCTTACTGATTAGGCAACCATGCAGTCTTAGGCTTTCTCATATGTTACACATTTTGAATTTGGTGCTTGAAACAATTGGACTTTTAATTAGCTGTTATGTGACTCATTTTTACAAACAAAATATAATTAGAAATCTGTCCCATGAGGAAGAACAATGTGTATAAACTCAGAATGCTAAGTAAGCCTACACCTATTTGCTCATGTTTGTACTGAAATTTGCAGCCTTCCTACTTTGAAAAGGCTAACATAAGTAAATTCCAATATATTTGTGCAACTTGTTACAAAAAGACATCTAAATATGTGAATAAGTATAAGAGAGAAGTATTTGCAGGTAGCACATCTAGGACCTAAGATAGTAGTAAGCTTGTATGTATATTTAAGTGCCTTGCATTTTCTTTGCTTCCCTTGGGTCTGGGACTTTGTTTTTTGACAGCAAAGAAAATTCCACATATTTGTCAGTACAATAACTTGAACCCATATTAAAGGCAATCAGCATCATTCCCCTAAATAAGTCAGGAGAATCCTCTTACAAATTAAAATGATTCACCTTTTAAATTTTCTAACATCCCTTCTTCCTGGGCTTCTAGCCTTTCTTTCCACAGTGCATGCTACATGCAGCAAGTTAAGGAAGGCCAGCAGAAATGATGCTACCTCTGCTAGTTTGTACATAGTGACTTTTTTCCCAGATAAATCTGGTTTATTTTGTATTGAATGAAATAAAAAAAATTAATAAAAAATATTCCAATTCAATTCCCTCGGGTGACAAAAAAA